CAAAAGAATCTACCATTTTCGAATCGTCAGCTGACTGAACTGTTGTCTTTCGTGGTTTTCCGTACTCCTTAAGTAGCCCGATTCAACATTTTCTTACAAAAGATTGGAGCCCGTGAGTGGGACTCCAAAAATAAACTCACTACCAGAGAGATCCACGTTGATCTTGATGTACATTGTGTTTCTTTAGAAAATCACATGAAATTTGAAAAAAAACTCGATTTTGTTTGATCAAAAACAGCTGAGTGAGACACATTCGTTGAAAATGACGCGAGTCAAGGTCAATCTTATTCTTTTGTGTCAGTTAAATCGCAACGAAAAAGCAAAGAATTGTTCATGTTGAATCATAATAAGGTGACTTAATTAGTAAAACAATAAATGAAAAAGCACATATACATGTACCTTGTGTATTACAAGCGGCCGTAATGTAAGCTTTTTTGTGTCAGTTAAATGCTCAAGCATGTCAAAAGACGGTCCGGACGGGGAAAAATGGAAAACCGAAGAGCCAAAAAAATTTAAAAAGCCCCGGTAAAAAAGAAAATGAAGGGGAGTGGGACAAATGCGACCTTTTTTTTGCGCACCCGGACATTTGCGCACCTTTTTTTCCGCACCTTGCCCATTAGCGCACCTTTTTTCGCGTTTTAAGAAAGCTCTAAAAAGCTAATATTAACCAATTTCTATTCCAAAAGTTGTTTTTCTAGGTAATTTTAGGGCGTAGAATCGAAATTTTGACATATCAGAGCTTGTGAAAATAAACGGACGGAGTTATACAAAGAGAAAAATCGACAATTTTCTGTAATTTGATCTAGCCGTTTTGTCTTTCAAATTGGTTCCACACGCTCTGTTATGTCAAAATTTGAATTCGACACCCTCAAATTACCTAGAAAAACAACATTTGGAATAGAAATTGGTTAATATTAGCTTTTTAGAGCTTTTTTTAGAGCTTTTAGAGCTTAAAACGCGAAAAAAGGAGCGCTAATGGGCAAGGTGCGGAAAAAAAGGTGCGCAAATAAAAGGTCGCATTTGTCCCACTCCCAAATGAAGCATGCCAATAGGATTTAGCATGTAGATTTAAGCATTCTCTAAAGCGCACCTTTTCCTTTTGTTGAAAAAGTATTCAGTTAATCAAATCATTGTTTTTAAAAACCATAAGCATTCTGGATTTTAATAGTTTTTAGTTCATTTCACGCGCACAGTGCGGAGTTTTATTTTTGAGATTTCTTTTACTGATTTAATAATGATAAGTTAGACTTAATACTTGTTTACTTATTTAATAGTTACTTATTTAAGTTAAGTTAGATTTGCTTATTAGCTTCATTAGCATTAGTCTGCTATCTTTATAATTATTTTTAAACTTTATATTTCATTAGTGTTGTTTTAATTTCATTTGCTTTAAAGTCAAATGTTTTTTCAGGCAATCATCAGGCTAGTCGTTGTCGATTTCGGTACAAAGGGTGAAACGTCCTTCAAAAAATGTGCTTCAGATGAATTCAAGACGAGGATTGCCAAAATTACAAGTTCTGGGTAAGTTTTTTAAGTTTTATTTGTGCTTTTAGTACGAAATACAATGTTCAACAAATTGTCAGCGTGATGCCTTCAAGACAAACAATTAAATTGACTGCCGAATTACGTACGATGGAGATTAGCAAAAAGTATGAAGCAGAGGTTGAGTTTTAAAACCTTTTAGAAAATAACAGCTTTAATTTTAGATTTTAAAAACTGCTGAAGAAAAAAGATGACAGATTTTAGATCATACATCTCCGATGACTGACTACATCTCCGTTTTTAGTACCTTTACGACTAACGACCCATAACTTCGTGTGATTCCAATGGCAATTAAAACAACTTTTAAACCAGGCGATGCTCAGAAGGTAGATTGTTTTTTCAAAACAATTTGAACTGAAATTTAAACGTTTGAAATTGTTGTTTTGTATTGGTGAAAAGTTGAACAGAGAACACTTGGCGAATTCAATTTTGGTTGCGGACGGTGCTTCCAATTTTTATAGCGATGGAAAAAAACTACATGAAAACTTATTGGTTTTATTTGGTTATACTATAAATGAAGAACTGCTTTAGATATTCGATGCGTCAACTGCGGTCTCAATTTGATTGGTAAACAGGCAACCAGCCCATACAAAATCAACAGAACAAAGATCATTTATGGTTTGATCTGAAAGAGCAAGATCTTCTGAAACAGATCGAAGAATCAGTCAATACTTGTCATGAGTTATTCCTTTACATTCAGTCTAAAGCGGTATTTATATTTCCTTTTCTCAAATCTTTAATCTTTTCTCAAATCAAATTCTTGATCAAAGAGATCGGTTTTTATACTGCGTTTGGTATCCTTGGATATTGGATCCAATCGGTTCCACCCATGTTTTTTTATCCAATAGCTGTCCTCGAGTAGTATCAACAAAAACAGGGATCTCAACAAAAACATGAGAGAGCTCTGACTTTCATTCTAAAATCAAGGACACTTCCACTATTCCAAATATATTTCCCATTTGGGTCAATTTTCCAATCATTTAACATTGATGAATATATTTATGACTGGTTGTCACCAAGTTTACGAGTGAAGCCAGATAATAAAACCCTGGGTTGCATAATACATGAAAGCGTGGGAAACTTTTTATGGCAATTCGGATGAGGCAAAGATGATATAACAACAGAGTTTTGACAACAAATCCACGTTTCAGCGGGTAAAGATATCAGATCTGTATCAGCAAGAAAGTGTGGGAATCAATAACCCCCTATCAACCCTACCTAATGATTTAAAAAAGTCGACAATTCTCTTAACAACCGATCCATTTCTGCTACAGAGAGTGAATCGAAATCTACGAAATGAGGTGCTTTCGAATAGACCATTTCCGAAGAAAATCGAGTGAGTGAATGCATTTTTAAACACACGTGGTTGGATTGGGAAACGATTTCTGCCGAACGGCCAACCGTTGAGCAAATCGAGGAACAAATGGCGTTTATGTGTGTCGATTTCTGGCCAATCGGTGACCCATTTTGGACTAGGCGATGAGCAGATTGGAATCGACAAAATTGCCTTCCCGAAACGCTTCGAAGAACAACTTTTCAAAGTGCTCTCGAAAATCGAATCCTCTCGAGTTTTTCGCTGTCGAGTGCGAACCGGAGGTTTTGAGTCAAAATTTTTGAAAATTAAATTATAGGTGTTCTTTAACAGTTCCTAGTAAACGGTTATGAATACTTATCAATAAAAAATCTAATTTTGGCTTAAAAGTAAAAGCAAAAGTACGTTAGGGTCAGGATCGGCCCTGGCTTTTTTCAACCCTGTTTACAATGGTTTGAAAAACTTATTTAAATTTCTTTGCCTTAAAGCTGGAGCTGTCAATCACTAGTTAGAGTCAGCATTGAGATAATACTTTATTTTAGTCGTTACTTTCAAGACATTTTGAAATCGATACGACGTCACGACAGGATCCAAACGCTAGCGGAGCGTGCGACTTGTGGTGATAAATGGGAAGGAAGTATCAACCTTTTGACTGTTTTTCGAAAAGGAGCAAATCACAAAACGTGCACTTCTATGTAGCATCTAGTGATTGGATGATTATTAAGGTGAACATGTGGAGTTACCCATATGCGGATGCATGTGGAGATGTTTGTGTTGTGCATTTAACGGCTTGATATCGTTTGAATAAAGGAATCCATGAAAAAGATTCCAAGTAGCGCAAGAAAACAGAAAGAAGAAATACGGCCTTAAAACAAAGTCACTAAATTTAAAAATGACTTTTCATGTAGTTGACATTTTAAAATTGAACAATAGTTGATTACATTCACATCTTTAAAATAGTTTTCTCGATTTGATTGCATTAATTCCACTCAACATCCTTTAAAACTTAAAAATGTTTCCAAATAACCAGCAAAATCACAAAACCAGAAATGAAATTCTTTGTGCTTCTTCTTTTGACTTCATGCCTGGTTTTTGGCGATTTTAAGTATCTATTAGGTTTGAAAGAAAGTTCTGGAAAAAGTTTGACTGCAATTTCTTGAAAACCAATCCACCAATTTAGCCAAAAAATTTTAACAGAGAAGCTTTTTCAAAAAATAATTTGGGTGCCACCTTCTTGGCACTGAGTGTTATAGGTGATTCTGAAAAGTGCAAGAATTTGATCAAACTGGCCTTAATCACAAATTTTCCCTATTTTAAGTACTTCATTTTAGGTTTTGAAATGGAACCCATTGCCTATTCATTAACCTATTATAAACTTGTCTAAAGGCTGGTCAATCAAAAAGTGATCAAATCACCTCAGCTGAAGAAATCTCTTATTTTTTACCTGAAACCCACCCTGCTTTTTATCGGTTGGTTTTTAAGAAATTCCTGTCAAACTTTTTCCAAGAACTTTCTTTCCAACCTAATAATTTGGAAAGGGACCTTTATCAGGCTAGAACTATAAAGAAAGAAAAATATATAGAAAACAAATTTGCTTTTTAGTTGTAAATGAAGAAAGCATTCGTTTTCTTGTTTGTGGCTTCAATGGCACAAATTGTGACAGCAAATGATGGTGAGTTTGTTTCGATCGATTACTTTGTTCTTTTTTTTGGAGGGGCCCTTTATCAGGCTAGAACCGCAAAGCTTTGTGTTAGCCCACCTAGGTATTTGCTTAATTCAAAAGCTTAGCTCAAAATCTAGGGGTTTGATCTTATTGTTGAATAAAGTATTTATTTTTAAAGCAAAAATATGGCAACTCAGATAGAGTTTGTACTGCAGTTTGTCGTTTGTCAAAATTTTTCTTCGCGTTTTTCCATTAAATTATTTTGAGCCAAATATTATCAGGAAAAAAGGAAAAAAATGTTTTTTGAATCGAATCATTGTCACAACATAGACCTTTCAATCAGAAAATAGAAATTTGATGAGCAAATGAAGTCGTCAAATCAAATTCCAAAGTCTTAGTATTTATTTCAACAACTGCTCGTTTTTAAACTAAACTTTCTCTTTTTACAATTCACATTTTAAAAAATTGGCTTTTTAGTTGTAAATGAAGAAAGAATTTGTTTTCTTGCTTGTGGCTTCACTGGCACAAATTGTGACAGCAAATGATGGTCAGTTTGTTTCGATCGATTACTTTGTTCTTTTTTTTGTTACCCAACTCGTCTACTAGCTATTTTTTAGAATGGATGGAAGAGTGCAAGAACCAGAGTGCAAACATTCAAATTCATTCGGCTGATGGCAACTGGAAAAACTTTTCGAGCGATGAGACGTCTAAGTAAGCGTGTTTCGTGAAAACTTTCCCTGGCTCGGCCCGGTGAAAAGCTTGATGAGATCGGACTCGATCAAGGCTTGCCCGCAGCTATGGTCCGGCCCTTGGCTCAAGGCTTTTTGGTCGCTAGAGATAACCCTTCTCATTTTATCTTCATCAATCAATTACAGTAAATATTTTTGGATCGATCGAACGTTCACGTGCACTGCTGATCCAGACCATTTCGCGCTTGTTCGAGTGGGAGTTTCTTTTTCAGTTTATCCTCAAAAATGTTCTTCAGATCAACCACAAGATGGATTTTCCGTCAGACACAAAAACTATCACTTGTGGATCGCGGCGTAAATGGGTGTACAAGGATGAAGTCGTTCTCAATGTTGGATGCTACACAGGTACACGGGTGAGTTTTTACGTATAGTTAAAGGTACTGCGGCAAAGAAAGTTGCTAGTAAATCCACGAGAAGCAGCAGGGACAAGAAGCTTTTAGGCAGATTGGATCCAAGAGTCCGAAGAAGAGGAAAGGATTCGAAAATGGATGGCCGAGAATCACGGAGTTAAAGAGAATCAAAAGGATTGGACGTGGGGCAGCACCCAGTATGACCAACAAAAGAAAATGCAGCGAATGGCTTCGGAAATCCAAAATCTTTTGATTAACACCGATAATATGTAAGTTTTAGCTCACGATCAACGCGAAAAGGGTTCTTTTCCGTTATACATCCGCCAAATTTGCATCCTTCCATGAAAATGAACAACGAAAACCACAGAAAATCATTTTTCTCTGTTTTCTAAGGAATCAGGTTTCGCTTACCGACTACGGAAGCTGATGCAATCTCGTTCTTTCAACAACGCCGCATCTTGCTTATTACTTGCACATGCGCCAACCATCACGTTATGAAGCTATTGCTCAATCAGAACCCCCAATGCGGATATGACAAAACGTCGTGCTGGACAGCGATCGACCTGCGTGTTGGCTCATGGATGGAGAGCACCAAAATCCCGTTTCTCACAACCCTACCATTATGGTTGGACTCAACACCTCGATCCTCGATCAACTATTGTGCGAAAGAATTGGAGATGAATCACAGAACCGAGGTCGACTTCAACAACTAGGATTCCTTGCGTGGAATATCTGGTGAACAAGCTGAGAGGAAAAATTGGAGAACCCAATCAAATCGTCGAAGTGGACTAGGCTCTCTTCTCGAAGCGAAAGGCGAATGTGAGCAAAATCTGGTCGAATCTTGCCGGGAAACCAAGGAATGTTTTCTGGTCGAGGTGACCGACCCTATTGGAAGCGAGGATTGAGCACATCGAGCCCGAAACCTAAATTGATTCCGATTATTGGAGAGGATGCAATACTGAACAGATGGAGGAGTCTTTAGTGGCTCGAGGCTTTACCCACGCTCAGGTCAATAAGTACAACTTTCTGAATCCGGATAACCCTGCCATTCACACGCAGACGGTCTGGCGTCTATGGGGAAAATGGAGAAACAAGAACCATTGCGGCTCGTCATTTCCTATCGAACTACCTCGCTGAATTCATGGTTCGTCGAGAAGTGGGAAAGGACGATTTCTACGAATGGGTGTGGCAACAAATTGCTACGGCATAGATTCCTCATTGATTGATGATCAGGGGTTATTTTGTGGATGTATAACGGAAAGGAACCGTGAAAGGTTTCTGAATAAAACTTTGACTTGCAATGTAATTTTCAGAATTAGAAAGCAAGTCGCCGTTCTACCGGCAGACTATGCGAATGCTTATCGGGAAGGGAAGGTTTTCTCAGAAAACAACTACTACATGAGAACGGGTTCCGTTGGCTTTGGAGACGATAACTCTGAGCTGAAATTTGAGAATTATGTGATATTTGTGTTTCGTGGTGGCTTTCCGGAGAGATCAAAGCCTGATGCAAGAGAAGGATTCAGGTCAGACCAGGATTAGGCTTTACTTATTAGGCTAGCTAAGAAGTAATGGCGGATTTGCTGGGAGCTGGCCTGAAACCAAACCACTCTTTGATCTTATTCAAAAGCTGTATTCAAGAGGAACAGAGTAGCGAAGAACATGCGTTGGTTGCGTTGGTTTTCGATGCGTTGGTTTTCGATGCGTTGGTTTTCGATGCGTTGGTTTTCGAATTTTTATAAGCATTTAAATGGCGCTTAGTCAGCTTGGTACCCAAAAAAGTGTCAAAATCACATTTCAGGATCATTAAATTTTAGCTAGGGCTTGGCGATTCCTTGATCCGAGGGTCGAGGGGTCGACTGCCAACTGTGACCAAATTTTCAACTTTTTTTTGCAAAAAGACCTAGCAAGAAGGTGCCACAAAATGGCCGTAGCAGATTTTGAGGCCGTTGAAATGCAAACGCCAAGCGGACACGGTCAATCCGATGCTGTATTCGGTTTTTATCCATATTCGAAAACACAACCATCCAAAAAGGCATCCAAAATTTGGTTGTCTACTCGGGGGAAATCGTGTCGAGCGAAAAAACATGTTTTTAGCCTGGGATTTTAACCAAGAAATTGACGAATGGTGATTTTGGCGCTTCTTTCGGTCTGATCGAGCTCACTTAAATGATTCTAAAAATTTTAAATCGAACCAATCAAAAAATGGTTTTCGGAACTGAGTTCCAATTGAATACAGCTTTCGAATAAGTCGAAACGTGTTAAGATTGATTTAGTTTGAGACCATCTGTTAGTCAATCCGTCATTACTTGCTAGCCAGCTTAATATATGGGCTAGCTTGTTATAATGAAGGTCGGGCCGCAAACCCAAATACTTTTTGAAAAAATGCAATTATAGGTGTTTTTGAACCGTTCCTAGTGAACGGTTACGAAAATGAAAGAAAATGAAAAATGTAAGTTTGACTTAGAAGTAAAATCAAAAGCCCGTTAGAATCAGGCCGGGATCGCGCCTGGCTTTTTACAACCCTGTTAAGAATGGTTTGAGAAACTTCTGGTGTTTTGGTGGTTGGCGGGCCACCTATATTTTTGATTTCTTCACTTTTCTTCGGGTAATCGAGGGCGCTGAGCACGAATTTGACAGTTTCAGAATAGGTTCTCAATCGAAAAGCCGACATTTCGACACGTTGAAATCTACACTTCTCTTGCGCTTTAAATGCAACTTTAAATTCGTGTACTCAAGCTATCGACTATTCGGGCACTTCTCAAGGTCAAAACTAGACCCAAAATCATTTTTAACCGCTAAATATTCATTTTGTAACTTAAATTGACTGATAGAGAGGCAAAAAAATTGAAAAATTATTTTTTGCGATTTTGTCTCATGTGGGGGACCAAATGGTCGAAACTTTTTTTATTTCGTTTCAATTTGAATTTGAAAGCAGAAACGTAATTAGTAGGTTAAATTATACACTTTGGCGCCGCAAAACTGGACTTAAACTCATTTTCGCAAGTTCTCGTTGTTTTTGAGTGGATTTGGATTTGAAAGTGGGTTTGAAAACAAAAAAGTGCCCCCCTTCCCAACCTGAATAGCGCCTAGAAGCGTAATTTTAAACGTGTCGAAATGTTGGTTTTTCAGTTTTCAGCTTTCAGCAGTTTTCAGCCCAATTTTTGTTTTATTAAAAAGTTCATGATACCTGATAAATTGTTAAATCCATCTTTTTGTAATGTTAAAATTAGAGATAATAAGCTCTTTCAATCTTTTAACCGTTTGCAAATTGCTCGGATTTGGACCAAGATATACAAAGAACAAACTTTTAAAAACCAATGTCAAAAGACTTTTGTCCATGACTGTAACTCATTTCGCCAAGCTCTCCTTGTGTTTTTCGGAATCTACGCATAAAGCTACCCGAGATAAAGTGGTTTTGAAAAACAAAAAAGTGCCCTCCTTCCCAACCTGAATAGCGCCTAGAAGCGTCATGTTCAACGCGTCGAAATGTTGGTTTTTCAGTTGAAATGCTAAAAATTTATGTTTATTAGTTTATTATCTTATGCTAAAAAATGTCAAATTCGTGCTCAGCGCCGTCGATTACCCCTAGAAAATTGGAAAACTTATTTAAATTTCTTTGCCTGAAAACTGGAGCTGTCAAGCACTAGTCAGAGTCAGAATTGAGACCATCCATTATTTTAGTCGTTACTTTCAAGCCCCTTTCCAATGGCGCGACCGTCACGACGGGATCCAATCGCTAGCAGAGCGTGCAGCGACTTATGGTGATCAATGGAAAGGACGTGTCGACATTGTGACTGTTTTTCGAAAAGGAGCAATTCACAAAACGTGCACTTATCTCTATGGAGCATCTGGTGATTGGATGATTTCTGAGGTGAAGACGTGGAGTCGGCCATGTGCCGTTGGATGTGGAGATGTTTGTGTTGTGCATTTAACGGCTTGATATCGTTTGAATAAATGAATTCATTCCAAGTAACGCAAGAAAACAGGAAAAAAAGAAATGTGGCCTTAAAACAAAGTTTCTAAGTTTTAAGATGACTTTTCATGTAGTTGACATTTTAAAATCGAACAATAGTTGATTACATTCACATCTTTAAAAAAGGTTTCCCGATTTGATTTCATTAATTCCATTCTAAAATAGGTGAAAAAGTTTGACTGCAATTTCTTGAAAACGAATTTACACATTCAAGAACATTTTCTTCTATTATGTATAAGTCGACTCCAAGAAATTACTCATAAAAAAATGAGTGCCGCTTTCCCATGAAATTTTAGAGATTTTGCAAAGATGCTTATTTTCCAGTTTAAATTCAGCTCACTTTTTGCAGCAGAAAAACGATTCCTTATGAGGTAAAGCTAGCATAAAAGAGCAATACGCTCTATAATCTCTATTTTTAGCCAAAAAATTTTAGCAGAGAAGCTTTTTCAAAAAATAATTTGGGTGCCACCTTCTTGGCACTGAGTGTTATAGGTGATTCTGAAAAGTGCAAGAATTTGATCAAACTGGCCTTAATCACAAATTTTCCCTATTTTAAGTACTTCATTTTAGGTTTTGAAATGGAACCCATTGCCTATTCATTACCCCTTCAAAACTTGTCTAAAGGCTGGTCACTCCAAAACTGACCAAATCACTTCAGCTGAAGAAATCTCTTATTTTTTACCTGAAACCCACTCTGATTTTTTTATTAAAAACTTTTTGAAATATGGACAAATTTATCAAATAATCTGGGAAGAGTTTATGGGTTGGTTTTTGAGAAATCACTGTGCAAACTTTTTCCGAGAACTTTCTTTCCAACCTAATAATTCGGAAGGGATCTTTATCAGGTTAGAACCGCAACGCTTTGTGTTACCCCACTTAGGTAACTGCTTAATTCAAAAGCTTAGCTCAAAATCTAGGTGTTTGATATTTTTGATATTTTTGAATAAAGTGTTGATATTTAAAAACAAAAATATGGCAACTCAGATACAGTTTGTCGTAAGAGCGCTAGAATTTCTCTTTGAAAGCCGTAAAATAGTCAACAACTCGGCTCGCTGGGGTGCACTACTATTAGAGAAAATACGATAATTAAAAACTTACCTTATTTCCTGTTCATCATCGTAGTCTTTACTAAACATTGAGACAAATGGAGTGCTTCGGATTCCATAGTGGCATCTTCTATCTTTCATGAATTATTGTAAACCTGCATTTCGGCACTTTATTTCTGAATAAAGTATTCCATAGAGAAACAAAAATATGGCTGCTCAGATACTTCACTAGTACTGCATTTGATCGTAAAAGCCCTGAAATGTGTCTTCTCTTTCTTCCATTAACTTCTTTTGAGCGATTTATTAAATGGGGAAAAGAAAAAATGTACGCTTCTATCAAAAAAACTCTTTTTGAATTGAATCATTTTCCAGACACCACATAGACCTTTAAATTCCAAACTTCAACTTTCAACTTTCAAATTGACTACTTTATTTTCTCCATAAATTTTTTGATGATTATTTGAACAACTTCTCGTTTTTATACTAAACTTTCTCTTTTTACAATTCACATTTTATAAATTTTGCTTTTCAGTTGGCTGTAAATGAAGAAAGAATTCCTTTTCTTGTTTGTGGCTTCGCTAGCTCAAATTGTGACACCAAATGAAGGTCCGATTGAAGGTTTGTTTCGATCGATTACGTTGTTCTTTTTTTTGTTATCCAACTCGTCTACTGGCTGTTTTTTTAGAATGGAGGAAAGAGTGCAACAACCAGAGTGAAAAAATAGTCATTCATTCGGCTGATGGCAATTGGACAAACCTTTCGAGCGATTTGACGACTCAGTAAGCGTTGTTTGCGAAAGACTTTCCGGGCTTGGCCCGGTGAAAGCCTTAATGAGCTTGGATCCGATTAAGGCTTGCTCCAAGCCATAATCCGGTCCTTGCCTCAAGACTTTTGGATCCCCAGGGATCACCCCTCTCACTTTATCTTCATCTCTCAATTACAGTCAACAGTATGAGGTCTATCGAAAGTTCACGTGCACTGCTGATCCAGGCCATTTCGCGTTTGTTCAAGTAGGAGTTTCTTTTTCAGTTTATCCTCAAAAGTGTGTTTCAGATAAACGACCAGATGGATTCACCGTCAGACACAAAATCTATCGGTTGTGGAAAGGAGCGTAAATGGTTGCACAAAGGTGAAGTCGTTGTCGCTGTTGGATGCTATACGGGTCCACGGGTAAGTTGCTTTGCAAATAGGTTTAGTTAAAGGTATTAAAGGTAGCCAAGCATTTGAAAATTTTCTCGAGACAGCAAGCTTTTAGGAAAATTGGATCCAAAAGCCCGAAGAAGAGGAAAGGATTCGAAATTGGATGGGCGAGCATCACGGAGCTAAAGAGGATCAAAAGGATTGGACATGGGGCAGCACCCAGTATAAACAACAAGAGGAAATGCAGCGAATGGCTTCGGAAATCCAAAAACTTTTAGTTAACACCGATAATATGTAAGTTTTAGCTCACGATCAACGCGAAAAGGGTTCTTTTCCGTTATACATCCGCCAAATTTGAACCCTTCCATGAAAATGAGCAAGGAAAACCACAGAAAATCATTTTTTCTATGTTTTCTAAGGGTGAGATGGATTCATGTTTCGCTTACCGACAACCGAGGCAGATGCAATCTCGTTCTTTCGAGAACGCCGCATGTTGCTTCCTACTCGCGCATGCGCCAACCGTCACGTTATGAAGCTATTGCTCCATCAGAATCTCCAGTGCGGATGTGACAAAACGTCGTGCTGGACAGCGATCGACCTGCGTGTTGGCTCATGGATGGAGAGCACCAAAATTCCGTTTCTCACAACCCTACCATTATGGATGGACTCAACAGTGGGCCTCGATCAACTATTGTGCGAAAGAATTGGAGATGAATCAAAGAACCGCGGTCGACTTGAACAACTGGGATTCCTTGCGGGGAATATCAGGTGAACAAGCTGAGGAAAAATTGGAGAAACCGATCGAATCGTCGAAGTGAACGAGGCTCTCTTCTCGAAGCGAAAGGCGAATGTGGGCCAAATCTGACCGCAAGTGTGGATATTTAGAGAAAACCTTGTGGATATTTAGAGGAAACCTTTGCCGGGAAATGTTTTCTGGTCGAGGTGACCGATCCTATTGGAAGCGATGATTGAAGACATCGAGCCGGGAACCTAAATTGATTCCGATTATTGGAGAGGATGCAATACTGAACAGATGGAGGATGCGGCTTTACCCACGCTCATGTCAACAAGTACAACTTCCTAAATCCAGATGACGCCATTCACACGCAGACGATCGAGCGTCTAGGGGGAAAATGCAGAAACAAGAAGCATCGCGGCACGTTATTTCCTACCGAACTACCTCCCGAATGGATGGTTCGACGAGAAGTGGGACAGGACGATTTCTACGAATGGGTGTGGCAACAAATTGCTACGGCATAGATTCCTCATTGATTGATGCTCAGAGGTTGTTTTTGTGGATGTATAACCGAAAGGAACCGCGAAAGGTTTCTGAATAAAACTTTGTCTTGCAATGTCCTCTGTAATTTTCAGAGTCAGGAAGCAAGTCGCCGTTCTACCGGCGGACTATGTGAATGCTTTTCGGGAAACACAGGCCCTCTCAGAGGACAACTACTATATGAGAACGGCTTTCGTTGGCTTTGGAGACGATAACTCCGTGCTGGAATTTACGAACTATGTAATATTTGTGTTTCGTGGTGGCTTTCCGGACAGATCAAAGCCTGATGCAGAAGAAGGAATCAGGTCAGACGAGTATTTATTAGGCTGGCTAATAAGTAATGGCGGATTTGCTGGGAGCTGGCCTCAAACTAACCCAATCTACAATACTTTGTTTTAGCCGTTACTTTCAAGATGATTTCAATTCGACAGAACGACACGACGGGATCCAATTGCTAGCAGACCGTGCAGCGAGTTATGGTTATAAATGGGAAGGACGTATCGACATTGTGACTGTTTTTCGAAAAGGAGCAAATCACAAAACGTGCACTTATCTCTATGGAGCATCTGGTGATTGGATGATTTCTGAGGTGAAGACGTGGAGTCGGCCATGTGCAGCTGGATGTGGAGATGTTTGTGTTGTGCATTTAATGGCTTAATGTCGTGCAAATAAATGAACTCATGAAAAAGATTCCAAGTAACGCAAGAAAACAGGAAAAAAGAAATGCGGCCTTAAAATAAAATCCCTAAATTTTAAAATGACATTTTTATGTAGTTGACATTTTAAAATTGAACAACAGTTCGATTACATTCACGTCTTTACAATAGTTTTCAAATTCAAATAGTTTTTAAAATTTGATTTCATTAATTCGATTTAGATTAATTTAAAACTTTTTTAAGAACCACTTTAATCTCTTTAAGATCTTTAAGAACCACTTTAACTGAAGAGAGCCGGTTCCTTAATGTTCCTGATGATAATTTGGCAACATCTGCTTGTCATCTGCTATTCATTGCTAAAGTTGGTACCCCAATGTGTCCAGAACTATTAAAGCAAAAGCTCAGTAAACACAAGCACTTGCGGATGAAAGCTCTCAGAAAAAAAGATCCCAATCACTATTTCAATTTGAACAAATTCCAGTCAAAATTTTCGTTGCTAACGAAGAAAAAGCCTTCCTTTATGAACTTTAGAGTATCTTTTCCCATCAACATCACCATCACGGTGATTTCGATTCATAAATACGACTCCTTATCCATAAACTTTGCGAAAATTCGCATGAAAGCTGAATTTTTTGAGCATGAAGAGCCACCGATTTCAATTGAGAATCATTCACAGGATCCGTTTAAGTTTTTGTTTTTGTTCTATTTTGTGTTGCTATAAAGTAACGAACATTATTTTTTTTTGTTTTATCGAGTTACATTCAAACCTTGTTCATGACTTGCCATCGTTATTCTCGATGTTTTTGCAAAAAGAAAACAAAAAGTCTTTTTGATAAAATAGTAGTCACAGTAAAGAATAAATGTTTAAAATCAAAAAAATAAAAAATTGTGTACGCAACAACTAAAAGAAAATCATTGTTAACGTGAAAAAAAATGATAGAATCCATTCTCTGATTTCTTTTGTCTTTATTCGGTACTTTTCGGCTATACATCCACACAGATTCATTTCGGTTAAGCAAGGAGCTGACGGTTAAGCAAGCTGTGAGCAGTGATGTTCCGGAGCAATCATTGTCGGTTTTCTCACTTCCACCATACTCATATGTAAGTTGTTTCTTTTTGTTACCGGATTTATCAACGTTAACTTTGAATATTTTAGTTTGCAAGAGAACTAACAAAACCTCTACGAAGCCGTTTTGCGGACAATTCGTCTCAAAATTTCGATCTGCACATAGAGGGGTCAAATTTTATTTTGCTTGAGTTTCACGTGAAGGATGTTATTAGAACTAAGAACTTTGTATTTGTTAATTCCTTTGTAATTTTAGGGTAGCAACCCATCTCTTGCAAAGCCAGAACGGTCGACTCGTGAAAATCAAAAGATTCTCCAATGCCGACCTCAAGCAAACCTCGCACAACGTTTGATTCTTGATTTTATTTTTGATATGAGAATTTAGAATGGGATTTGGCACCGAAAAGGGTTGAGGAAGAATTGAAAGAAGAGGTTGCTTATTACTTAAGTCTTCAAAAATGGCTCCTTTTTTAGAAAACTGATCTCAAATCGAGTGGAGAAATAAATCCTTTTATTTTTTGTTACCCAACTCGTCTCTTGGCTGTTTTTTAGAATGGATGGAAGAGTGCAAGAAGCAGAGTGAAAACATTCAAATTCATTCGGCTGGTGGCAACTGGAGAAACCTTACGAGCGATGAGACGTCTAAGTAAGGGTTGTTTCGTGAAAGATTTTCCGGGCTTGGCCCGTTGAAAGCCTTAATGAGCTTGAATCCGATTAAGGCTTGCTCCAAGCCATAATCCGGTCCTTGCCTCAAGGCTTTTTGATCGCCAGGGATAACCCCTTTCATTCTATCTTCATCTCTAAATTACAGTCAACAGTATGGGGTCTATCGAAAGTTCACGTGCACTGCTGATCCAGGCCATTTCGCGTTTGTTCGAGTAGGAGTTTCTTTTTCAGTTTATCCTCAAAACTGTGTTTCACATAAATAACATGATGGATTCACCGTCAGAGACAAAAACTATCACTTGTGGATCGAAGCGTAAATGGTTGCTACACGGTAAAGGTGAAGTCGTTGTCTCTGCGGGTGCTACACAGGCCCACGGGCAAGTTGCTTTGCAAATAGGTTTAGTTAAAGGTATTAAAGGTAGCCAAGCATTCGAAAATTTTCTCGAGACAGCAAGCTTTTAGGCAGATTGGGTCCAAAAGCCCGAAGAAGAGGAAAGGATTCGAAATTGGATGGCCGAGTATCACGGAGCCAAAGAGGATCAAAAGTATTGGACATGGGGCGGCACCCAGTATGACCAACAAGAGAAAATGCAGAGAATGGCTTCGAAAATCCATGAAATTTTGGATAAGACCGATATGTCTGTCTTAGCTCACGATCAAAGTGAAAAGGGTTCTTTGCCGTTATACATCCGCGAAAATAAACCCTCGATCATTTCGGTTATGGCATCTGGTGATTGGATGATTTCTGAGGTGAAGACGTGGAGTCGGCCATGTGCAGCTGGATGTGGAGATGTTTGTGTTGCGCATTTAACTGCTTGATGTCGTTTGAATGAATGAATTCATGAAAAAGATTCCAGGTGACGCAAGAAAACAGAAAAAAAGAGATGCGGCCTTAAAAAGGGTCCCTAAATTTTAAAATGCCTTTTTATGTAGTTGACATTTTAAAATTGAACAATAGTTGATTACATTCACATCTTTAAAATATTAGGTTGTCCGGAATGAAAATACCCTTTTAATGAAAAACAAATCTATCTCCACAAAAAGAAAAAAAGGCGCTGTAATCCAAAAGATATTCTCCGTTGTTGGCAATAGTCTTTCTCCATTTTTCTTTCAAATCTCGGATCCCTTTGCTGAAGATTCCTTTGCTGAAGAGTGCTGCGAGTCAAAGTATTGGCTTACCCAAATTCGGACTTCGTCGTGATCCTTGAAGTGTTTATCGGTCAGGAAGTGCTGCATAGATCGAAATAAGCGGTAGTCTAAGGGTGCCAGATCTGGACTATACGGCGGCTGCGGGAGACATTCTCAATTCAATTCCTCGAGTTTTTCTTGCGTCATCTTTGCTGTGTGTGAGCGCGCGTAATTTTGCAGATATCTCACAGTCGATGCGTTTACACCTTGATTCTTGAGAGCCTGGTCTAAATGTTCCAACTGCTGCACATATACATCTGAGGTGACTGTTGGACGAGAAGGTAGAACCTCAAAGTGTATAAGACCAGGGAAATTCCACCAAACAGATAACATGATCTTTCTTCCATGCGGCTCACGTTGTGGCGTCGTTTTTTGCTGTTCTCCTTGACTATACCACTGCCGCTTTTGCGACGGGTTATCGTAGTAAATCCATTTTTCTTCGGCCGTCACAATAGTGTCCCAAAAACCTCGACTTTTTGATTGACGAAGAAGAATACCGGCCATAGTCGCTCGAGTAGCTTTATTAGCGTCACTAAGTTGATGGGATACCCATTCTCCGACGAGATTTGCTTTACCCAAACGGTGTAAATGGTCCGCAATTGTTGTGTGGCCTACAGCAAACATTTTTGCAAGTTCCCGAGTCGACAAGGTTGGGTCATCTTCTATGGCTTCTCGAAGATCGTCATCGTGGAGGGAGTGACCACGTCCTCGATCCTGTAGAGTTTCGTCTCCCTCTCTAAATCGTTGAAACCATTTTTACAAGCTTTCTCAAAATAAGCAGCTTCTCCAAAAAATTTCAAGATTGAACTATGGCTCTCCCGGACACTTTTTCCTTGTTTAAAGTCGAAGAGCAAGCACACCCGAATTCGGTACTTCTGATCTTCCATTCGAAAAAAGTCAAAATTGTATGGCAGTCAATTTTTATAAAAGCATAGAGTTAGAAAAGATATCTAACTTTAAAACAAAACAAAAATCAGACGCGAAGCTGTTCGCTACACCAAAAAAATTGCAATCGAAGCTGAGGGTATTTTCATTCGGGACACCCTAATAGTTTTCTCAATTTGATTTCATTAATTCCTTCCATCCTTTAAAACTTGAAAAATGTCTCCAAATAACCAGCAAAATCACAAAACGACAAATGAAAATTTTTATGCTCCTTCTTTTGACTTCATGCTTGGTTGTTTCAATAGTTCCAAGAAGTCAAATGAGTAAATTTTGGTGGTTTTAAGTATCTATTAGGTTTGAAAGAAAGTTCTTGGAAAAAGGTTTGACTGGAATTTCCTAAAAACGAATCCACCAATTCAAGAACATTTTGTTCTATTATTTACAAGTCGACTCCAAGAAATGACTCGTAAAAAAAATGAGTGCATCTTTCCCATAAAATTTTAGAGATTTTGCAAAAATGATTATTTTCCAGTTTAAATTCAGCTCACTTTTTGCACCAGAAAAATGATTCCTTATGAGGTAAAGCTAGCATAAATGAGCCATACGCTCGATAATCTCTATTTTTGGTCAAAATTTTAACAGAGAAGCTTTTTCAAAAAATAATTTGGGTGTCACCTTCTTGGCACCGAGTGTTATAGGTGAGTCTGAAAAGTGAAAGCATTTGATCAAATTGGCCTTAATCACAAATTTTCCCTATTTTAAGTACTTCATTTTAGGTTTTGAAATGAACCCATTGCCTATCATCCCCTAAAAACTTGTCTAAAGGCTGGTCCCCAAAACTGACCAAATCCCTTCAGCTGAAGAAATCTCTTATTTTTTACCTGAAACCTACCCTGCTTTTTTTTGTTCAAAAATTTTTTGAAATATAGTCAAGTTCATCAAAAAATCTGGGAAGAATTTATCGCTTGGTTTTTAAGAAATTCCTGTCAAACTTTTTCCAAGAACTTTCTTTCCAACCTAATAATTTGGAAAGGGACCTTTATCAGGCTAGAACTATAAAGAAAGAAAAATATATAGAAAACAAATTTGCTTTTTAGTTGTAAATGAAGAAAGCATTCGTTTTCTTGTTTGTGGCTTCAATGGCACAAATTGTGACAGCAAATGATGGTGAGTTTGTTTCGATCGATTACTTTGTTCTTTTTTTTGGAAGGGCCCTTTATCAGGCTAGAACCGCAAAGCTTTGTGTTAGCCCACCTAGGTAATTGCTTAATTCAAAAGCTTAGCTCAAAATCTAGGGGTTTGATCTTATTGTTGAATAAAGTATTTATTTTTAAAGCAAAAATATGGCAACTCAGATAGAGTTTGTACTGCAGTTTGTCGTTTGTCAAAATTTTTCTTCGCGTTTTTCCATTAAATTATTTTGAGCCAAATATTATCAGGAAAAAAGGAAAAAATTTTAACAGAGAAGCTTTTTCAAAAAAATAATTTGGGTGTCAGCTTCTTGGCACCGGGTGTTATAGGTGATTCTGAAAAGTGCAAGAATTTGATCAAATTGGCCTTAATCACAAATTTTAAACAAACCTAATAATTCGGAAGGGATCTTTATCAGGTTAGAACCGCAAAGCTTTGTGTTACCCCACTTAGGTAACTGCTTAATTCAAAAGCTTAGCTCAAAATCTAAGTCTTTGATATTATTTTTGAATAAAGTATTTATTTTTAAAGCAAAAATATGGCAACTAACTCAGATACAGTTTGTCGTAAAAGCGCTAAAATTTTGTTTTCCATTAAATTCTTTATTAGCTAAATATTTATTAGGCTAAATATTAGGAAAAAAAGAAGAAAAATGTATGATTCTATCAAAAAAATTTGTGTTACCCCACTTAGGTGACTGCTTAATTGATAGTGAGTTTGTTTCGATCGATTACTTTGTTCTTTTTTTTGTTACCCAACTCATCTACTGGCTATTAGCTATTAGCTTTAGAATGGATGGAAGGGTGCAGGAACCAGAGTGAAAACATTCAAATTCATTCGGCTGGTGGCAACTGGGGGAACTTTTCGAGCGATTTGACGTCTAAGTAAGCGTGTTTCGTGAAGACTTTCCCGGACTCGGCCCGGTAAAAGCCTTAATGAGCTGGGACTCGATCAAGGCTTGCCCGCAGCCATGGTCCGGCCCATGGCTCAAGGCTTTTTTGTCGCTAGAGACAACCCTTCTCATTTTATCTTCATCACTCAATTACAGTAAATATTTTTGGATCGATCGAACGTTCACGTGCACTGCTGATCCAGGCCATTTCGCGTTTGTTCAAGTGGGAGTTTCTTTTTCAGTTTATCCTCTAAAATGTTTTTCAGATCAACCACAAGATGGATTTTCCGTCAGACACAAAAACTATCACTTGTGGATCGCGGCTTAAATGGGTGTACAAGGGTGAAGTCGTTCTCAATGTTGGATGCTACACAGGCACACGGGTGAGTTTTTTACGTATAGTTAAAAATATTGCGAAACGTGTTATTAGTAAATCGACGTGAGGCAGTAGGGACAAGAAGCTTTTAGGCAGATTTGATCCAAAAGTCCGAGGAAGAGGAAAGAATTCGAAATTGGATGGGCGAGCATCACGGAGTTAAAGGGGATCAAAAGGATTGGACACGGGGCAGCACCCAGTATAAACAACAAGAGAAAATGCAAAGAATGGCTTCGGAAATCTATAAACTTTTAGTGAACACGGATGATATGTAAGTTTTAGCTCACGATCGACGCTCAAATGGTTCTTTTCCGTTATACATCCGCAAAATAAACCCTCGATCATTTCCGTTATACATTTCCGTTATACATCCGCAAAATTTGCATCCTTCCATGAAAATGAACAAGGAAAACCACAGGAAATAATTTTTCCTTTGTTTTCTAAGGGCGCGATGGAACCATGTTTCGCTTAACGACTACGGAAGCTGATGCAATCTCGTTCTTTCAACAACGCCGCATGCGCCAACCATCACGTTATGAAGCTATTGCTCAATCAGAATCTCCAATGCGGATGTGACAAAACGTCGTGCTGGACAGCGATCGACCTGCGTGTTGGCTCACAACGTGTTGGCTGCGTGTTGGCTCTCTGTTAAAGTTTCTCACAACCCTACCATGATGGATGAACTCAACAGTGAACCTCGATCAACTATTGTGCGAAAGAATTGGAGATGAATCAAAGAACTGCGGTCGACTTCAACAACTATAATTCCTGGCGTGGAATATCTGGTGAACAAGCTGAGGGAAAAGATTGGAGAAACCGATCGAATCGTCGAAGTGGACGAGGCTCTCGTCTCGAAGCTAAAGGCGAATGTGGACCGAATCTTGCCGCAAGTGTGGATATTTAGAGGAGTTTGCCGGGAAACCAAGGAGTGTTTTCTGGTCGAGGTGACCGAACCTATTGGAAGCGATGATTGAACACATCGAGCCGGGAACCTAAAATGACTCCGATTGTTGGCGAGGATGCAATACGGAACAGATGGAAGAGGCCGGCTATACCCAAGGTCAACCACAAGAACAACTTCCTGAATCCGGATGACCCTGCCATTCACACGCAGACGGTCGAGCGTCTAGGGGGAAAATGGAGAAACAAGAAGCATCGCCGCACGTCATTTCCGAACTACCTCGCTAAATTGATGGTTCGACGAGAAGTGGGAAAGGACGATTTCTACGAATGGGTGTGGCAACGAATTGCTACGGCATGGATTCCTCATTGATTGATGGTCAGGGGTTATTTTTGTGGATGTATAACGGAAAGGAACCGCGAAAAATTTCTGAATAAAACTTTGACTGTTTTCTGACGATGTTTTCTGTAATTTTCAGAATCAGGAAACAAGTCGCTGTTCTACCTGTAGACTATGTGAATGCTGGGCTGGAACCAGAGTACTGGGCATGGGACAACTACTACATGAGAACGGGTTTCGTTGGCTTTGGAGAGGATAACTCTGTGCTGGAATTTGCGAACTATGTGGTATTTGTATTTCGAGGTGACTTTCCGAATAGATCAAAGCCTCATGCAAAAGAAGAAATCAGGTCAGACGAGTATTTATTGGGCTGGCTAATAAGTAATCGTGGATTTGTTGGTAGCTGGCCTCAAACTAAACCAATTTTAGCGAGTTTGGTCTTATTCAAAAGCTGTATTCAAGAGGAACAGCTTGGCATCCAAAATGTCAAAATCACATTTCAGGATTATTAAATTCTAGCTAGGGCTTGTCGATTCGTTGATCCGAGGGTCGAGGGTTCGATTCCCAACTGTGACCAAATTTTCAACTTTTTTTGGCGAAAAGACCTAACAAGAAGATGCCACAAAATGCCCGTAGCAGATATTGACGCCTCTGAAATGCAAACACCAATCGAACACGGTCAATCCGATGCTGTATTTATCCATACTCAAAAACACACAAGGAAAACGCATCCAAAGTTTGGGTGTCTACTCGGGGAAATCGTGCCGGGAACAAAAATATTTTAGGCCTAGGTTTTTGATCGAGAAATTGACGAAATGTGATTTTGGCACTTCTTTCGGTCTGACCGAGCTCACTCAATAGATTATAAAAATTTGAAAACCGAACCAATCAAAAACTGGTTTTCGGAACTGTGTTCCTATTGAATACAGCTTTCGAATAAGTCGAAACGCGTTAAGATTGGTTAAGTTTGAGATCATCTGCCAGCAAATGCGTCATTAATTGTTAGCTAACCTAATATTATGGACTAGCTTCTTATAATCAAGGTCGGGCCGTAAACCCAAATAGATTTTTGAAAATTAAATTATAGGTGTTCTTGAACAGTTCCTAGTAAAGGGTTATGAATACTTATTAATAGAAAATCTAATTTTGACTGAAATAAAATAAAAAGCACGTTAGGATCAGGGCGGGATAGCGTCTGGCCTTTTACAACCCTGTTTAGAATGGTTTAAGAAACTGGTGTTTGGTGGTTGCGGGCCCACCTATATTTTTGATTTTTTTCACTTGTCCTGGGGTAATCGAGGGCGCTGAGCACGACTTTGACAGTTTTAGAATAGGTGCTCAACCGAAAAGCCGACATTTCGACACGCTGAAAACTAAACTTTTCTTGCATTTTAAATGCAACTTGAAATTCGTGTACTCAAGCCATCGACTATTGAGGCACGTCTCAAGGTCAAAACTAGACCCAAAATCATTTGTAGCCACTAAATATTGATTTTCTAACTTAAATTGACTGGTTAGGAGGCAAAACAAATTGAAAAATATTTTTTAAGATTTTGACTCATGTGGGGGACCAAATGGTCGAAACTTGAAAAATTTTTTTTGGTTCGCTTCAATTTGAACAGAAACGTAATACAGTCATGGACAAAAGTCTTTTGACATTGGTTTTTAGAAGTTTGTTCTTTGTATATCTTGGTTCAAATCCGAGCAATTTGCAAACGGTTAAAAGATTGAAAGAGCTTATTATCTCTAATTTTAACATTACAAAAAGATGGATTTAACAATTTATCAGGTGTCATGAACTTTTTAATAAAACAAAAATTGGGCCAAAAATTGATGGACAAAAGTCTTTTAACATCGCAGTTTCGTCGTGAAATTTTCTGTTTTTCCTATTGATTTCTGATTGCTAACACTGATTTTTTAGATGCCCGGCGCCTATTTATCAACTCCGGACAAGGAGAAAATCGTCGAAGCTCGAAAAAATGGAATATCTAGAAAAGCCGTCGCTGAGCTATTCCGCTGTACCGAAACAACTGTATCCCTTGTTGTCTCCAGGGCCAAACTCGCGCGAAACGTTCATCGTGCATCAAAAAGTGGACGTCTACCAGTTACAACTTTACGAGAAGATAATGCGCTCGTTCTGGCCCACAAGAAGAACCCAAATCTGAATGCCTCTGATGGTGTGGCTATGGTGAAGCAACAATTTAACAAAGAAATTTCTCGAAAAACAGTGAGTCGACGCCTGATTCACGGTGGATTGATGACTAGAAGGGCCGCCAAGAAACCTCTGATGGTAGCTAAGCGCCGGAAGCTTCGTCTCGAGTTTGCTAAGAAGTATCAAAGTTGGACGTCGCACGATTGGGTCAATGTTGTGTTCACCGACGAATCGAAAGTCAATCTTTTCGCCCCTGATGGCAATCATTTGATACGGAGACCAGTCGGACAACGTTATAACATTAAATACTTGCGTCCTACAGTTAAATTTGGTGGCGAATCGATCTTGCTATGGGGTACGAACCTTTGTATTTTATGCCTACTGATTTTCTGTTTTCTAGGAGCAATGTCCAAAAATTCACTGGGTCCACGCGTCCTTCTAAACTTAACGCTGAATGCTCAACGCTACAAGACAATTCTGGAGAATGATCTTCTACCGTTTTCGACCGCAAATATGGGCCAAGGTTGGTTGTTGTACCAGGACAATGCCCCGTGCCACAAGTCACAGCTGCTGATGGGACGCCGTGTTATTTGCGAACTCACCAATGGGGGAACGTTTTCTAAGTGAACCAATCACTGTGATTTTGGTTTCATTTTGTAGATCTCAATAAGTGCAACAAAATGACACCAAAATCATAAAGATTGGCCGAACGATTGTGAAGTTTGTGAAGTCGAAATTGAAGGGGAAACTATTCGGATCAAAAGTGGAGCTTTGGTACTTCATCCGTCGAGTCTGGACAACTATTGGACCCCAAATTCTACGTGATCTGGTTGACAGCATGCCAAGGAGAATTCAAGCAGTAATTGCGGCTCGCGGAGGACCTACTAAGTATTGATTTCATAATGTTTTTCTCACATGTTAAAAGACTTTTGTCCATCAATTTTTGGCCCAATTTTTGTTTTATTAAAAAGTTCATGATACCTGATAAATTGTTAAATCCATCTTTTTGTAATGTTAAAATTAGAGATAATAAGCTCTTTAAATCTTTTAACCGTTTGCAAATTGCTCGGATTTGAACCAAGATATACAAAGAACAAACTTCTAAAAACCAATGTCAAAAGACTTTTGTCCATGACTGTAACTCATTTCGCCAAGCTCTCCTTGTGTTTTTCGGAATCTACGCATAAAGCTACCCGAGATAAAGTGGTTTTGAAAAACAAAAAAGTGCCCTCCTTCCCAACCTGAATAGCGCCTAGAAGCGTCATGTTCAACGCGTCGAAATGTTGGTTTTTCAGTTGAAATGCTAAAGATTTATGTTTATTAGTTTATTATCTTATGCTAAAAATGTCAAATTCGTCCCCAGCGCCCTCGATTACCTCTAGAAAATTGGAAAATCAAAAATATAGTTGGCCCCCCAACCATCAAAGTACCAAACTTCTTTAAATTTCTTTGCCTTAAAACTGGAGCTGTCAATCACTAGTTATAGTCAGCATTGAGATACCACTTTATTTTAGTGATTACTTTCAAGATGGTCTCAATGGGATAGAACGACACAACGGGATCCAATTGCTAGCAGAGCGTGCAGCGACTTATGGTGATGAATGGTGGGTAGGACGTGTCGACATTGTGACTGTTTTTCGAAAAGGAGCATATCACAAAACGTGCACTTACCTCTATGGAGCATCTGGTGATTGGATGATTTCTGAGATGAAGACGTGGAGTCGCCCATGTGCATTGGCATGTGGACATGTTTGTGTTGTGCATTTAACTGCTTGATATCGTTTGAATAAAGGAACTCATGAAAAAGATTCCCAGTGACGCAAGAAAGCAGAAAAAAAGAGATGCGGCTTTAAAAAGGGTCCCTAAATTTTAAAATGACTTTTTATGTAGTTGACATTTTAAAATTGAACAATAGTTGATTACATTCACATCTTTAAAATAGTTTGCTCAAATTGATTTCATTAATTCCATTTAGATTTCTTTAAAACATAAAAATGTAAAAACTGAGTAAAAACTGAAGAAAAAACATAACATTTACGAATCAATTAAACCTGGATTCAGGGTAACATTAAACCATCTATCAGCCGCTTCCTTTAGTTTCTCCGTTGAAAAACGAACAGCTTCGAGTTTGAATGAAAATGGGTAGGCCTTTCGCTTGACTTTTAGTCTTAGAGCTTGTTGAATTCGACATTATCTAAGAAAGAAAAATGATTAACGCAATAAAATCTGAAAAAAATCGGAAAAAAAAGACGAAACGAAATAAAACTACACTTTCGGGTTGACTTTTCGTATTTCGAATACAATAATTTTAGCCACAAATAGAAAAGAAGTGATACTTCGAATAAAAGATCGGTGTTATATTCAACCTGGTCTTCTCTTTTTTCAATCAGCCTCTAGACCTCGTCTCCTATTCGAAGCGCTCTTTTATTCTTCTTAATAGTCTTCTATTGCTTTTTTAATAGTCTTCGGTCTTCTATTCGAAGATATACGGTAGACTAAAATAAACAATAAACAAAAAAAACCAAATTCTCGGACGATAATTCCGGTTGATCACGCCATTTTCGGACCAATTTTCGTTTTCATCACTAAGCAAAATAGTTTGAAAACTATTGTGTAAATACCGTATTTTCTTTCTCTAATAGTAGTGCACACTGAGCGTCGCCTAAATTCCTCGAAATCTCGAGAACCGCTTGTCAGAACCTATCGATGTGGGGTAGGAAAATGTAGCTGACGATGAGATCTTTTGGGGGATTTGAGTGTTGAGCTTCTACGAAAACTTTGAAAGCCGTAAAATCGCCACCAACTCGGCTCGCTGGGGTGCACTACTATTAGAGAAAATACGGTAATTAAAAACTTACCTTATTTCCTGTTCATCATCGTAGTCTTTACTAAACATTGAGACAAATGGAGTGCTTCGGATTCCATAGTGGCATCTTCTATTTTTCATGAGTTATTGTAAATCTTCATATGTAAATGTAAAATATGGCTACTCAGATACTGCATTTGATCGTAAAAGCGCTGAAATTTGTCTTCACTTTCTTCCATTAACTTCTTTTGAGCGATTTATTAAATGGGAAAAAGAAAAAATGTACGCTTCTATCAAAAAAACTCTTTTTGAATTGAATCATTTTCCAGACACCACATAGACCTTTAAATTCCAAACTTCAACTTTCAACTTTCAAATTGACTACTTTATTTTCTCCATAAATTTTTTGATGATTATTTGAACAACTTCTCGTTTTTTACTAAACTTAATCTTTTTACAATTTTGATTTCATCAAATTTGCTTTTCGGTTGGCTGTAAATGAAGAAAGAATTAGTTTTCTTGTTTGTGGCTTCACTGGCACAAATTGTGACACCAAATGAAGGTCCGATTGAAGGTTTGTTTCGATCCATTACTTTGTTCTTTTTTTTGTTGTCCAACTCGTCTACTGGCTTTTTTTAGAATGGAGGAAAGACTGCAACAGCCAGAGTGAAAAAATAGTCATTCATTCGGCTGGTGGCAATTGGACAAACCTTTCGAGCGATTTGACGACTCAGTAAGCGTTGTTTCGTGAAAGATTTTCCGGGCTTGGCCCGTTGAAAGCCTTAATGAGCTTGAATCCGATTAAGGCTTGCTCCAAGCCATAATCCGGTCCTTGCCTCAAGGCTTTTTGATCGCCAGGGATAACCCCTTTCATTCTATCTTCATCTCTAAATTACAGTCAACAGTATGGGGTCTATCGAAAGTTCACGTGCACTGCTGATCCAGGCCATTTCGCGTTTGTTCAAGTAGGAGTTTCTTTTTCAGTTTATCCTCAAAAGTGTGTTTCAGATCAACCACAAGATGGATTTTCCATCAGACACAAAAACTATCACTTGTGGAAAGACGCGTAAATGGTTGCACAAAGGTGATGTCGTTGTCACTGTTGGATGCTACATGGGCCCACGGGCAAGTTTGCTTTGCAAATAGGTTTAGTTAAAGGTATTAAAGGTAACCAAGCATTTAAAAATTTTCTCGAGGCAGCAAGCTTTTAGGCAAATTGGATCCAAAAGCCCAAAGAAGAGGAAAGGATTCGAAATTGGATGGGCGAGCATCACGGAGCTCAAGAGGATCAAAAGGATTGGACATGGAGCAGCACCCAGTATGAACAACAAAAGAAAATGCAACGAATGGCCTCGGAAATCCAAAATCTTTTGGTTAACACCGATCATATGTAAGTTTTAGCTCACTATCAACGCGAAAAGGGTTCTTTTCCGTTATACATCCGCAAAATTTGCAGCCTTCCATGAAAATGAAGGAAAACCACAGAGAATCATTTTTTCACTATTTTCTAAGGGCGGGGTGGATTCATGTTTCGCTTGCCGACTACCGAGGCCGATGCAATCTCGTTCTTTCAACAACGCCGCATCTTGCTTATTACTCGCACATGCGCAAACCATCAGGTTATGAAGCTATTGCTCAATCAGAACCCCCAATGCGGATGTGACAAAACGTCGTGCTGGACAGCGATCGACCTGCCTGTTGGCTCATGGATGGAGAGCACCAAAATTCCGTTTCTCACAACCCTACGATTATGGATGGACTCAACAGTGAACCTCGATCAACTATTGTGCGAAAGAATTGGAGACGAATCAAAGAACCGCGGTCGATTTCAACACACTAGGATTCCTTGCGTGGAATATCTAGTGAACAAGCTGAGAGGAAAAATTGGATAAGTCGATCGAATCGTCGAAGTGGACGAGGCTCTCTTCTCGAAGCGAAAGGCGAATGTGGACCGAATCTTGCCGCAAGTTTGGATATTTAGAGTAGCTTGCCGGGAAACCAAGGAATGTTTTCTGGTCGAGGTGACCGACCCTATTGGAAGCGATGATTGAACACATCGAGCCGGGAACCTAAATTGACTCCGATTGATGGCGAGGATACAACCCTCACCAGATGGAGGAGGCAGGCTTTGCCCACCCTCATGTCAACAAGTACAACTTCCTGAATCGGGTTGACCCTGCCATTCACGCGCAGACGTCTAGGGGCAAAATGGAGAAACAAGAAGCATCGAGGCACGTCATTTCCTACCGAACTACCTCGCTAAATTGACGGTTCGACGAGAAGTGAGAAAGGACGATTTCTACGAGTGGGTGTTGCAACAAATTGCTACGGCATGGATTGATCCTCACTGATTCCTCATTGATTAATAATCAATGGTTATTTTTGTGGATGTATAACGGAAAGGAACCGTGAAACGTTTCTGAATAAAACTTTGTCTTGCAATGTTTTCTGTAATTTTCAGAGTCAGGAAGCAAGTCGCCGTTCTACCGGCAGACTATGTGAATGCTTATGGGGAAACACAGGCCCTCTCAGAAGACAACTACTACATGAGAACGGCTTTTGTTGGCTTTGGAGACGATAACTCTGTGCTGGAATTTGCGAACTATGTAATATTTGTGTTTCGTGGTGGCTTTCCGGGCAGACCAAAGCCTAATGCAGAAGAAGAAATCAGGTCAGACGAGTGTTTATTAGGCTGGCTAATAAGTAATGGTGGATTTGCTGGAAGATGATCGCAAACTAAACCAATCTACAATACTTGATTTTAGTCATTACTTTCAAGATGATTTCAAATCGAGAGAACGACACAACGGGATCCAATTGCTAGCAGACCGTGCAGCGACTTATGGTTATAAATGGGAAGGACGTATCGACATTGTGACTGTTTTTCGAAAAGGAGCAAATCACAAAACGTGCACTTATCTCTATGGAGCATCTGGTGATTGGATGATTTCTGAGGTGAAGACGTGGAGTCGGCCATGTGCAGCTGGATGTGGAGATGTTTGTGTTGCGCATTTAACTGCTTGATGTCGTTTGAATAAATGAATTCATGAAAAAGATTCCAAGTAAGAAAACAGAAAAAAGAAATGCGGCCTTAAAACAAAGTCCATAAATTTTTAAATGACTTTTTATGTAGTCGACATTTTAAAATTGAACAATAGTTTGATTACATTCACATCTTTAAAATAGTTTTCTCAATTTGATTTCAGAAATTCCATTTAGATTCATTTAAAACTTAAAAATGTCTCCAAATAACCAGCGAAATCACAAAACGAGCAATGAAAATCTTTGTGCTTCTTCTTTTGACTTCATGCCTGTTTATTTCAAAGGTTCAAGTAAGTTGGAGTAAGTTGGAGTTCGAGTACTATAGTAAGTAGTTGGAGTATCAACTGCTTACTATAGTACAGTGAGTAGTTGGAGTATAAAACTAGTCTAGCACCTTAGTTTAATAAGGTTTATTTTAAGATTCATCGTTTCTACATTTTTGCTAAGTTTTAATCATAGATCTTTAAGAACCACTTTAACTGAAGAGAACCGGTTCCTTAATGTTCCGGATGATAATTTGGCAACATCTGCTTGTCATCTCCTATTCATTGCTAAAGTAGGCACCCCAGTGTGTCCGAAACTACTGAAAACAACAGCTCAGTAAACACAAGCACTTGCGGATGAAGCTCTCAGAAAAAAAGATTCCAATCACTATTCCAATTTGAGCAAATTCCAGTCAAAATTTTCGTTGCTAA